GTTCTCAAACCCTAAGGAGCTCCAAAGGTTTGATTTTTAATTATGTATTTGAATTTTTAATTAGCAAGATGATTGTTCATACTCACAATTAATTGAAATATTTGTGAAATTGAAATGACAGCTAAGCTGGTTTTGATATCGAACAACTGCCCGCCTTTGAGGAAGTCGGAAATTGAGTACTACGCCATGCTTTCTAAAGTTGGTGTCCACCATTACAATGGAAGTGAGTTTCTCTCTCCTTATCCTCGATTATATGTCCTACTTGTTGGTATTTTTGATTTCTAGATTTTGTCATCTGAAGATTATGTTTGAGTCTGACTTAATCTTCGTAATTGATATGTCAATTGTTATATGTTTTAATAGAAAATTGAAGCTCGTTTTTCTACTTCAAATAAATGTTACTTTGCTTCTATTGAGTTTGATTGTTGATTGATTTAGACTGTTTATATATAATTAGATTATGTGTGCATATCTGCATTTCCATTTTGCTCAATGTGTATACTTTATTAATAAGCAACGATTAGTAATTTTTATCAATTTGCCACAAGAAATTTGTTGTCGTAATTGAATTACTGAACGAGTGTGATCTCGAATTTGTAAACTAGGATGCTTTGGCTACTTATAGCCAATGTGAAATGCTGTTGTGTGTTTGAAATTATTGAGCATGTAATAGCTTTTCTATTCTTGTTTCCTGCTTAAATTTATAAACTCTTTGGTAACAAAATGTTTTCGTTTTATTAACACAACTACGCTTCATCTGCTTCGAAATGCGTGTCGTTAGTCAATTGTTTTCCTCTGTTTGGAGGGTTTGTTTAAGTTAATCGAATTCTTGATATTAACGTGGTCTCTTGTTGTGCATAGACAATGTTGATTTGGGAACTGCCTGTGGAAATTATTTCAGAGTGTCGTGCCTCAGCATCATTGATCCAGGTTCGATATGCCTCTGTTTTTTTTTCTCGTTAGCCGCGTAGTAATTATTATCCGCTTTATTAAAAGTCGAGACGTTAATTATCATTGGCTGTTAATTTCAGGTGACTCTGATATCATCAAATCCCTACCTGGAGATCATTGACTTTGACGAAAGTAATGTATTAACCATAGAACGAGTAGAATTTTTTTATTAGCACCGAGAATTCTTTCTTAGTCAATTTTTTGGTTGTTGGTGCTCAAATGTGTTGGGAAATTTTGAAGAATTTGACATCATCGTTGTTTTCTGGATGTCTTAATATCGAGGTTTAACGATGAATATTCGATGTTTAATAGAATGAGTTAGATCCAATTCAGCACAATTCGAGGCAATGATGTAAAATTCACAATACTAGTAAATTAATTGTTGCAAATTCTTTTTATTTTTCTGTTGGAATGAAAACTTTAGGGTTGACAATTCCATGTTCGGTGCGTTTATAAAGTTGTTCTATAAAGATAAGGTCACGTTCAGGAAAAGTTGTTCTAAACATAGGAAATGTTAGTGTACTAATATTAATTTTTTGCAACAAATTTTATCTCATTTCACTGGTAATATTCTAATAATACCTTATTTTTATCTAACAGAAATTGTAATTTATATACTTGCAAACAATGCAACCATTTGTTTTTTTAGTTTGTCAAATAATCTAATAAAAATTAAATTATTTCATCGATTATTTAGACAAGTTATAATGAAAAAGTTCAATTATTTAGTTAATAATGATTAATCTTATGAATCCAACAAGACCTTAATTCGGATTTACAAGCCTAGAGTTTCC